TATTGTGTTAACTTTACCTTTACTTATAATTTTACCCTCTTCACTACTGATCGGCAGTCGGTTACGTCTCTGTTACGCACTGTTGGCAAGTACTGGGCATGCACCGGCTCCTGAAAGTACCTGAACCTGCTCCAGTGTTGGTCAACTTTGGTCTTGATAGAGCTCACATTCGGTGCAGTCACAAACACTCTCTGGCAGGTTGTTCCAGAGTTCACCACTCCAAAAGTGTACCCTCACTTCTGGATTCAATGGCTTCTTTAGCCTTGAAATGTGACCCTTTGTGGGGTGGGGTGGGCGAGGCGGCGTCTGCCAGCTCCAGGTATGGGTAGTGGTATCACAGAAATTTGCCAATGGGGGGAACTTTGTACAAACATACCGAGGTATTGTATGTTGAAAAACAAGATAATAAATATTTTTCTGTGTGATCATGATGAGCTTATCAGTCAGTTAGTGATGCTATTATTTATTTCGTTATCGTCATTAATTTTTCACTTCTTACTGTTAAAAATGGTTTATTTGAAATAATTTATTAGCTCAAGGGTTTTGGGGTGATTGCCCCCCCCCCCCCTTCGGTATGCCTAAGGATATGGACACTCGACTGAGTATTGCCCCCTGAGATATTTATAAACTTCAATTAAGTCACCCCTATAGCTTAAGTTAGTCAGTTGTAGGCATTCTAATCTCTCTGGCTAACTGAAGTGCCATAGCACAGCCACCAGTCTGGTGGCTCTCTTTAGAAAATTTTCAATCAACTGACGGTCTCTAGCATATCTCAGAGGCCAGACGGTGAGACAACAATACTCCAAACGAGGGAGCACCTCAATCTTGAAGAGCATTACGAGGGATGGAGACAGCCCATTTGTCCACTGTGCCCACATCAAGGGGGCAGGAGTCACTACCCTACAATAAAAAATATGCCTCACCTTCGTCTGACACAGTTAAGTCATTGGAGCCACCTGGCAAATACTGTTCATTTATTTCATGCAACAAAAAGCTATTTATTGTTTGTATATTCGTATTTTAGAACCACGATACCCTTTATAGGTTTATGAAAGTTCGGTACCCTACGGTACTCCCCCCTACTTCACAAAAAAATCCAGGATCTGTGTCTGTAAATAGGGCAATAAATGTATTTTGCTCTTTTCAGACATGCTGGCGAGTGTGGAGTCCAAGGGTGGTGGCAGCTGTGACCTGCCTGAGGAGTCTCTCAGTGACCACTACGACATTCTCAACATCCTCAACTATGGCAGGATGGGCAAGGTAGGTTATGGTTGAAAGTCTAGTACTGTATTGTAGTATACACTGTTTACACATCTTAAAATGTTAAAAAATTTACTTTAACATGCAAGCATGCATAGTTTATTATCTTATTTTCCACAAAACTCTGTGATGGATTGAATTCTGAAATCCCCAACAGAGCTGCCATGTCACACTTCGATAGGTGGTGTTACTCTTCCAGTCATAACAGGATCTCATATTGGTTCTCCTGTGAAAGGCTGTGATCACTCAGGAGCAGAACTGCTGAGGTTCTGTGCACAGTACAGTATTGTACTCTGCTTGCTGACATTCACTCCTCACCACAGTCAGAGAATGGTGCCTCCAGATGACATGCCCCATTTTGGTATTGCACACCTGGGAGGAGGGAGGGGGTCTAGCCATAAAGACCATTCTCAATCATTAAGTGAGATTTCTGGATTTAACTCCTATATTTTGATCAAAGATTCCATGTACGACGGTGAAAGAAAGGCTCCTAGAGTGATTCCTAGCTGGGAAATTAAGTTACTGTATTAATATGATTTTATAACTGCTTTTTATACAGTACTTTCCTGCACCACAGTCAACATGTGGTAAATTCCCATGAAGGAATCTTGAGATGAAGGTCCAAGTATTTAGAAAAGACCAAGTTCCTCTTAGGAAAGCCATAGATGAAGTGAAGGGTCATGGCTGTTGAGCTGTATCTGTGCAGCCCAGTTGTGTCCATGAAACAACCCCATTAATCATCTTAGGATGTACGCAAGGAGTTTTGACTCATATCTCAAGATTAAGGTAATCTGATAATGTACAGTACTGTGTTTGTAATACTTAAACAAAAATTATTAACAAACATCAATGAAGAAAAGATTATCCTTACTGATTTTCCATGTTGAGGCATAATACAAGTAGGAATTTGTTTAGGTTCATCTTAGCTAAGTATTTATATAACAGGCTGAAAGCTAGCCCAGTGAAGCTTGAAAATGAGAAAAAGGTAAGGAATTTTGAACCTTTTTAAGAGTGTGAATATTTCTCATCATGAAGCAGAAACCTCTTAAGAGTACAAGCTAGAGCACATTTACATGATGTCAATGAGTTTACTAATACAATAACTTTGTCACTGATGTCAACAAACAAATAAATAGATCATAGTACAGTACAGTGTATCTTGTTATGATCAACAGCATCATTCTTGAGCCTTCTCTGTTTATAGGACTGTACAGCTGTTTAGGGATATGATCATGCAAAATGTACAAAAGCATGTCCAGTAAGTCCTGTGCTTAACGTTGCCCCAGACAACGTTGTTTCGTTCAAACGTCGCTACTCTTTAGATTCCCATGATTCCAACAATGTCCCGACCAATTCGTTATAATGATGTCACCCAACATGAACTACTTTTGTATGGAGCATCACCCTCTCTCATCTTGGTGTGCTACACACTCTAGCAGAGCGTCAGAGCGTCCCCAGTCTTTGTTAGGCTTTCAGCGTAGTGCGCAATTAGGTGTTTTTGCTATAAATACTGTACTGTAACTATTCAAAATGGCTTCCAAGTACCCAGCCAGTGATAGTGATGCTAGTGTTATGAAGAAGCAATGCAAGACCATTAGCCTTGCTTCGAAAATACCTACAGTATTAAGAGTGTATCAAATTTTGGTTCAATGCTTTTTAAAATATCTGTAGTGTAATTGAATTTATTGGCCTTGAGAATAGTGAATTAAATACTGTATCAAGATCCTCGTTAATGGTCAAGAAGCTGAGATATGTGAATGTCGGTCACACTAGAATAACCTGTTATAGTACATCCTTCTTTCCCCACACAGCCAAACTGTGGAATGCTTTGCCTTCTTCTGTGTTTCCAATATAAGAGGCCATCCACTTAATACTGTAGGCTGTTTACCTTTGGAAGATGAGGATAATGTTCTATTTAGTCACTGATTACCATGTACAAAGTTGTTTCCCTCAACCCCAATGCAAGATAACAAAACTTAAACCAACTAGGTTATAAATCTTGGGAACAATTTAACCCTAGAAAATTCCTACATGAAGACCATAAAGTTGTGTCTGAGGAGAGATAATTGTATTTCCCTCAACTTTGGATAAAGAAAAGATCAAGAAATTATGAGTTGTTGTCAGTCTTGATAAAAAATATACAGCCATCTTTTGATTAACATAATTATTTTAGTGTGTCTGTGATATATCATAGCTTCAGTTCATGTACTATTTCATTATAATACTGTACCCAAATTTGCCATTCTGTTCAGTGTTTTTACTCTATTAATACAGTAGAAGTACGAAAATCCGGACTGCTCGGGGATTGGGTCGGTCCGGATTTTCGGGCAGTACTTTTAAAATTCAAATTTAAGGAGGAATAAAGAAGAGATGAACAGGTAAATTTTGATAGTCTATTCATTAGCAAATACAGGTTGACAATCCTTTATCCGAAATCCTTGGGGCCAGAGGCATTTCGGATTTCGGAATTTTTCGGTTTTCAGAATGCTATGTGTATTAGCCCACCCGGGCATAGATCACTAACCCACATTGGGGCCTGGGGGAGGGGCGAAAATAAAATAAAATTTAAAATTAATAATTATAATAATAATACTAATTCATAGGTCTAGGTCGTGTTTCTCACTTTGATCTTTTTTTCATTCTTGTATTTCTTTATTATTATTATTATTTTATTATTACAGTATTATTGTTATTATTAATTTTTTAAAAATATTTTATTATTATTATTATTATTATTATTATTATTATTATTGTTATCATTATTATTTTATTTTGGATTATTCTTATTAAAAATTGTATTTACTATGAATAATTATTATTATTATACTGTAATTACAGTATTATTACTATTACATTTTTGCCCCCCAGGCCCCGATGTGGGTCAGTGATCTATGCCTCAGTGTGCTAATCCCTGTTTTATAAGGGGGGGGGGGGAGCCCCCTCCAAAAAACTTTCGGTTTTCAGAGCTTTACGGTTTTCGGAATTTCAGATAAAGGGTTGTCAACCTGTACTGAGACGAGGCTGTGAATTCTGGAATTTTATTCTTTGCCTTTTTTATATCGTAAATTGTAGACTTTCCGATGTCGTATGTTTCCATTAGATCAGTATTGCTCACACCACGTTCTAGTTTCTTAATTATTTCAAGTTTGTCACTCAATTTCAACGTGTTCTTCTTTCTCTTCACACAACGAAGTTTATCTACTTTTGGAGCCATTATTATGGGCTTGTAAATACGTATGCTATATATGGTAAATGGAAAGAGTAGGACACAATATTACATACATTGTCACAGGTTGATTGCTCGTTTTAAAATGGCGACCGCGTGGTCGCTTGTTGTCGCTGTGCAGCTCACGCATGCGCACACACACACACACACACACAAAAGCCCGCTAAATTTAAAAAGTTTGAGTTTTCAAAAAGTCCGGATTCTCAGGTGGTCCAGATTTCTGGCATCCGGATTTTTGGACTTCTACTGTACTGAACTGGTTAGAAGAAATGATCTGCAAACACATTTTCCTTTCATAATAAAGTCCCCAAATCTGGTTTACTTCTGTTGCTTCTCTGTTTACTGATACTGTACTGCACTATGAAATATTATTTTGACTACTGTAATATAAATTCACCATCCTGGACAGTAATTTACTTTGAATTTAACCAAATGATCAATGCACTGTACCAGAGAACCAACTATCAATGTTCTTGTTGTATACATCACTGATGCCAACAACCGCAACAGATCTATCTCGCTGCTACAAGACTGACAGGAATGGAAGTAGCACTGAAGGCCGTATGTCGCGACGTGTGCAGGAGGAGGGACGTGCAGCGCGAGTACCACTACGCTTCACACCTTGATCACCCAAATCTAGCATCTGCCACTTCCAGACTTTTCCAGACTGATCTCTACATTGTGTATCCCATGGAGTATGCACCTTATGGGGACCTGGCTTCTCACCTCACCTCCAGGACCATTGATGAGGTAAATATCAGTGATATAATAATATAGTGTAGTTGATATTTAGTGACCAAAGATGGCCAACAAAACCATGAGATGCTTATTTCCAGTATGTCACCCATCCAAGTACTAACCAGACCCATCATTGCTTGGCTTCACTGACTGGACAAGTGGTGGTGTTTCTAATCTCCAACTGAGTACAGTAATCAGATCATAGGAAGATTAGTCACCTCAACGTATTTCACTCATGTTTAGACACTCTAAAGCAGGTATGCACAACCTGCGGCCCTTCAGTAGCTCTGTTGCGGCCCTCGGTGTCTTATGTTATCAAGACTGTTGAAATACAAAATTAATATGAAATAAAACTGGGACTTGGGGCAATGGGAACAATCTCTACCTTCATTCAGTTTACACTTACAGTTTTTACCAACGATACTGAAAAGCTTATTTGTCTTTCATTTTTGTATTGCATTTTACTGAAATGTAAAAACAATTTCAAATTGCTGTAACAGTTTGGAGATCACAGTCAGCAGCAGGTCCAAAGGTGGACGGGAAGTGAATGTGTCGATCTGAGAGCCAGGCTGTCTAGGCGGGAGCACTGTTGCCATTAAGCCAGTTGATATTATCTCAGTATTATGTCTTCCTCAACATATCTAACTTTTATCCATGAGAAACCCATAGAAATGAACGAGAAAATTATACGGCTCATATTTTACAAAAATAAATTATTACTAATAAAAATAAGAAGAGAATTATGGCATCACAACCACTCATACTGTATATACGACGAACTCCAGAAGTTTTGGCTGGGACTCAGCTGAGGTGATTCATTGATTGACTGAAACAATATCCTCTGGCACTCGCTTGAGACAATTACCATTATTGGAGCATTACTGAATATTTTTTACCCCCTCACAATGACTAGTAAGTCGACTGAAAAAAATACATCACAAAAGAGAAAACTTGAGGACGAGAACAGAAACTTTCAAGAAATATGGACCTATAACGATTTCTTTGTGTAAAACAATGCAAAGAAAATTATTTGTTTGATTTGTCAAAGTTGTGTGGCAATTTGTAAGGAGCATTATTTGCAAAGACATTGTTTATCCAAGCATAAAGCATATGGAGAAATCAAAGGTGAAATGAGAAAACAGAAAATAAATTCTTTGATGCAGAAAAACATGTTCACTCAGAGGAAGAAAGAGGCACAAGAAGTGACACAAGTGAACTATAAGTTGTATATCTGATAGCAAAATGTTCACGGTCATTTACAGATGGTGATTTGGTGAAAAAGTGTATGGTTATTGGTGCTCAAAAACTTTGTACAGATGTAGTGAAGAAGTTTGAAAACAAAAGTTTGAATCGCATGACATTGCAACACAGAATTCGTGATTTATCAAGTGACATAGTAGACCAGCCGAAAGAGAAAGGTAATAACTTTGTGTACTTTTCCGCAGCCGCTGACGAATCGGCCGATGTAACATCTACGGCTTGGTTATTAATTTTCGTATGCGGTGTAACAGACGACTTCACTGTCCGTGAAGAACTTGTTGGTCTCAGTTCTCTGGCTGGGCAAACTAAAGGGAGTGACTTGCTAAGTGGACTTCTGGAGCAAATTAGCACTATTGAGTTGAATATAGACAACTTAGTTGGCATAACAACAGTTTCACTGCATAATACATCAACAGAATTTGTGTGGAAAACAACTGAACTTTGAAAATGCAATGAAAATTGTAGCCTCAACAGTCAACTTCATGAAATCGCAAGCTTTGAACCATCACCAATTCAAGCAGTTTCTAGAAGAAATTGAAACTGAGTATGGTGATCTGGTGTTTTTCACTGAAGTCAGGTGGTTATGTCGGGGAAATACACTGCAATGATTCATCAACCTCCTGGATGAAATAGTGATATTTCTTAATGAAAAGAGTGAAGTGGTTCTACAGCTTGAAAATGTGAAGTGGCTTTGTGATCTGGCATTTCTTGTTGATATCACCAGTCATTTAATCACAGGCATCCGCCGGGTTATGTGTCCTTGAAAATTTGTCAGTAACGTGTCATCAATTTTTCCATTGACTTCCATTATATAATTGGAGATGCGTTCCCAAGGAAATATTGTCGGCAAAAAGACGTAATGCAAGACACATTTATGAATGAAAAAATTTTTTTTAACACACATTGATTATTTTATGATATAGTGTAATATGATAATAAATATACAAAACACTTAAATTTAATCTACCATAAACGATGTTGAGTGCTGCGTTAGGGTAAGGTGGTGCAATTGGAGTTACTGGGAGGGAGACGGAGGGGCACTACTGGCTCCTGCATCGCCCTGTACAGTATTGTAGCAAACCACCAAGAAATCCACACAAAATAAAGTGCATAATTTCTGTGAATTTTTTTTCTAATAGTATTGAAAAAAATTAACTTAAAAATTTACCCAATTTACGTAAGGGCGAATTTTTTTCCGTATCCCAAATTTATTGGTCATAATTTACAAAATCCGTAAGAGCGAATTTCCGTAACCCGGGGACGTCAGTAACTTGAATGCCAAACTTCAGGGTCGTAACCAAGTGTCATCTTTTGAACAAAAACTTAAGCTGTTTCAGTCACAACTCATTAAAGGAGAGTTGGGACACTTTCCAACATATCAAACTATGCTTGAAAAGCACAGTATACATCACAAAGCTGAAAACTATGGAACAATTATAGGAAATCTCCAGGAAGTGTTTGATAGGCGATTTAGAGACAAAAAAAGTAGAAAAACTTGCAACTGTTCAGCAATCCCTTCTCTCTATCACCTGAAGACAGTTAACTAGAGGCCCAGTTAGAACTGATTGATCTCCAGAATAGTGACAGTCTTCGTGCTAAATTTATGGAAGGAAACTTTCTCAATTTTTACAGGTGCTTGCCTTAAGATCAGTATCCATCTTTGAGAAATGAGGCTGCTATTTATGCATGCTTATTTGGCTCCACATACATCTGTGAGCAAACATTTAGTCTGTTGAATCTTGACAAGTCACAATGTCAAACATCACAAAAAGAAAAATTTGTCACATTATATGCCAGGTAAGCACTTCGTTTCCAATCATTATTTTTTATGGTAATACTGTGGTCCTTTTTATGAAGTTACAGACTAAAATTAATTATGTGTGACAACAAATTCTTGGTTATCTCTAGTTTAAGTAAAAGGATTATATTTGATTTAAAAAAATAATAAACGTATGTATGTGTGTTTGAGTAGAGAAGTTGAATATGTAATTATGGTGACTCATGAATCTTGCAGTCCTCGCTTACAAGTTAGTTTGGTGATGTGGCCCCGGAAGCGGAAAGGTTGTGCATCTATGCTCTAAAGCTACCTAGAGGGTTTATATTGGGTTAGGTTAAGTTTGCATTATGGTGTTTAATCATCAGGTAAAATAAGTTGGGGTGCCTAATCTTGAGGTGATCCAAATAATCAATCATTCTTATCAGTTTCTAGTATCCCTCACTTATGAATAACAGCAGTTTATAGCCAATGTTAACACAATGAATCAAGTACTGTAAATAACTCAAGAATCCAATTTTTTGTCTGTTATTTTCTCATCTCTCATGGTTGTCCTTGTCTGTACCTCCTGTAGTTTTCTTAAAAAAAGTTAACCATTTGTCTAAAGAAAGATTTTGATTATTAGTTCCTTAATTATTCAGGATGATTCTTCTTTCCAGGTACAAACCCGGTGGGTGGCTGAGCAGGTAGCCAGTGCACTAACTTACCTGCATGGATTCCAGTTAGTACATGGTAGTATCACCCCTGATAACATACTCATCTTCAGACCTAATCTTTCACTCGTCAAGATCACCGACTTTGGCTCAACGTGTCGAGGCGGAACGTTCGTGCGTCGTCGCCTCTTTGTCGGACCGTATAGTCCACCTGAGCTGAGTCGCAGTGAGGGAGCTGAAGGATATTACACTGGCACTTCTTTAGACTCCTGGGCCTTAGGTATTCTCATCATTCACTGTCTCACAGGAAACAAACCTTGGGCCACCACTGATGTCACCGACCCCGAGTATGCCGCCTTTCGAAACTGGCAGCAGGTCAAGTCCATACGGGTGCCAAGATCCTTCAAGAGGTTCACGGTTCGTCTTCTGCGACTCTTACGTCGTCTCCTAGAGCCACGTGGATGGTCGCGTTATCCTGCTAAGGAAGTGTTCAAGTACCTCGAGGATGATTGGCTGATAAAATCTCGAGACAGAAGTGACATTCATGAATTTAGTTCATCTCTGGTGTCAATCCAACATTTTCGGCCGTACTCCTCACTTACCGAAGATCTAAAAGAGCCACTACGCCCACAAGAACACGAGGCCCCGGAGCAGCCACCACAGGGGAGGGTGTCAAGTCGAAGACGTTTTCTGGCAGAACTGTTGCGGTTCACATCACCGAACCTATCTGTCAAGCACCGCCGTAAAAACCATGCATGGCACAAGTCTTCATCCTCCTCATCTTCTTCCTCATCTTTCTCATGGCTCAACTCATCTTCCTCAACTTCCTCATTTAGCACCTCTACTAATTACTCTTCAGTGTAATCTGTCATCATTAAACAAAACCAAAATAAACTTATGTACAAGTCTATGTTAATCTGTAAGTGGAAAAAGCTTATAATGTTCTGCAGACAAATGTAAGTTTCTTTACCTAAGATCATAAGAACGGAACATTTTGGTGTTCATCCATAGATAACTGCCTTCTGAATTATAGTGAAGATGCTGTTCTTGAGTGATTTTGACTCAGTATGCCCTGATTTACACTTCCACCTCCTCTAACTTGACACTTATGTATGTGTATGTATATTAATGCAAAGTAGCCACTAGGAACCAGATGGAGTAAAAACTAAATGTGATTTTGTGATCAGTAGGTGTCAGTTCATGCCTACAGCCTGCCTCACTAAAGGTCACAGCCTCAGGTTAATGAAACCACAAGCTCATAAAATTATCAGGGCAAACATTCTTGGAGTGAAAGTTATGAACTCTTGGAATAACCTGCCAGAGAGTGTTGTGATGGCACCGAGTGTGAACACATTCAAGACCAGATTTAACCAACACTAATGCAGGTTCAGGTGCAATCTGGAGCCAGTACTTGCCAACAGTGAGTAACAGAGACACGACTGACTGCCCAAGTGGCTAACAAACTGACCACTGGTGAAGAGGATAAATTAAAGTACAGTACAGTACTCCCTCAAGGAATGGCTGTTAAGATTCAACATCACAAAATGCAAAAGGATACACCAAGCCTTACCAACAGTAAGGAGGAATTGAAAATGTCCAAAGAAGGGCCACCAGACTGGAGCCGGCTCTATGGCACCTCAGTTAACCAGAGAGAGCAGAGCACTTGCAAATGCCTAGCTTATACTATAGGGTGAGCTATGGCCAAGAGGATAAAGTAAAAAGTAAAGTACCCCGTCAAGTTGTTAATAATCACAAAAACACTTGGATCATTTTGTGTTTCCATGTGGTACCTGCATCATGTGTCCTCAGTAATTGTTTGAGTGTGTTGAGAAAGTAGCACAGGTTGATGGGTGTGGGGGAGTGATGTAGCCACTCTGATCATACTCAACCACAACACCAACACCTTAACTGCCATTGTCAAACAGTTAGGATATATACCATTCTACAAAATAATCATTAAACTAACCTATCTTATAAGGTGACCACACCAAAAAAAAAAGTTGCAAATAGAAAGTTTGTTTGCTGGAGACATCAGTTGCATGTACAGTGTGATCATTCAATATTCATGGGCTTTAAGGTTAATATTATATATAATTACCTGCACAGTGTAATCAACCTTCAAATTAGATGCCACCACCAGAGTAAAATTAATAAGATATCTCATTTACCTGAGTGCAATGACTTAAACTCATGATCATTGTTTATTGCTGATAAATGGTAGTATGGTAGTGAAGGAAACACGACTAACAGAAGGGGCTTTAGGCTTGATGTTTTGTCAAGACTTTATCAAAGGAATGAAGACACAGTTCAGAGTACTGTTATTTATACTAAAAAGTTGGATCCACAGTAGTAGGTGGAGATTTGTCTCATCCCTCCATTGGTCATTTGGTGTTGCTACTGTTTCTTTTCTCCAGCAGTTGTGTGCCACCATCTGGCCTGTCTCTCCATAATGTAATGTGCTTTGGGTTACGTCCTTCTTGTGTTGTGTTAGGTCCTCCATTGATGATGCATCTGGTCATTTTCTGTAGTTATATCAGTAACTCCTCTTGGGTAGCCCAGCTTTGAGAAGGTTTTGAAGATGTAAGCCAGCTCATCCTCCAGGTATTCAGCGTTGCATATTCTGTGAGCCACCAGGAAGAATCCAATGGCCACGCCAGCCTTTGTTATTTACTCTGGGTCAATGGGTAGTGGACTTAACACAAGAAGGACGTAACCCAAAGCACATTACATTATGGAGAGACAGGCCAGATGGTGGCACACAACTGATGGAGAAAAGAAACAGTAGCAACACCAAATGACCAATGGAGGGATGAGACAAATCTCCACCTACTACTGTGGATCCAACTTTTTAGTATAAATAACAGTACTCTGAACTGTGTCTTCATTCCTTTGATAAAGTCTTGACAAAACATCAAGCCTAAAGCTCCTTCTGTTAGTATTGTAAACCCATGAGTACCATGATTCAATCCCTAGAGTGTAATGCATTAATGCTTTGAATATAAGGATTAAATCCCTTTATGAGACTATAGTATACTTAAGGTGTTAAGTCATCATACTCAAGGAGTTAACCTTTCAGCAAGTAACCCAATCCTACATTGAGCAAAAGTGTAACTCTGTCAAACATTTTTTCCTTAATGTAACCCAGATGGGAAACTATTATAAACTTCCCCTAAATATTTTACGAGGCCATGTTTGTCTTCCTAAGTGTAGAGCTTTAAGATGACTTGTACATATTCCACCATGTTGCACAAGATAGCATAATGGTGTTTTTGTCATGCATATACAAGTACTCTTATGGCTAGACGTTAGGCTGAGAGTTGCTGCTCAATATATAGTCACAAGAAGAGTTTTGAATAAGGTGGGCAATTTCACATCCAAGCAATCAAGTATTATAACCAGTATATGTACGGTATGTCTTAGATGTCACTTCTTAGCTACGTGATACAAATCATCCCTGGTCACACGCGCCTCTACAAAATGGACAATGCTGCTACTCATTTTTCTTTTGTAGCAGATAAACTTGAGCTAACAATCATCAGGTTTTTTCTTTACAATACATTAAGTTTTGCTGTTTAGTTTTGTGTCATTTCCAAAAATAGTCGTTTCATGATACTCTCTTGTGGGCATCTTTCATCACTGACCATCTTACCTTTCCTCCATACTACAATACTTCCTGTCATCATCCTCCATACTACAATCCTCTTGGCCACATCGTCCATACTACAACCCTTCTTGGCCACATCGTCCATACTACAACCCATCTTGGCCACATCGTCCATATTACAACCCTTCTTGGCCACATCCTCCATACTAAAATCCTCCTTGTCATCACTCCTCCATACTACAATCCTTCCTGTCATCATCCTCCATACTACAATCCTCTTGGCCACATCCTCCATACTACAACTCTTCTTGGCCACATCCTCCATACTACAATCCTCCTTGTCATCACTCCTCCATACTACAATCCTTCCTGTCATCATCCTCCATACTACAATCCTCTTGGCCACATCGTCCATACTACAACCCTTCTTGGCCACATCCTCCATACTAAAATCCTCCTTGTCATCACTCCTCCATACTACAATCCTTCCTGTCATCATCCTCCATACTACAATCCTCTTGGCCACATCCTCCATACTACAACCCTTCTTGGCCACATCCTCCATACTACAATCCTCCTTGTCATCCTCCTCCATACAGTACTACAATCCTTCTTGGTCACCTTGTTCCCTGTTATTCTCTCCATCACACTACGATGCATCACATGACTGACCAGTGCGTATTTACCAACATTAAGATCCTTACTACAAAGGAAGACTTACATTAGCTTCACTCTAAACCAAGTTGCAGCAATCTGGTGACTATGTCTTCAAAAGTTAATCCAGTATAAGTAGCATCTCCAAGTGTGCTTATGATGTGTTAAATCATGTGCCCTAATATAATATATAGATTTTAGGGTAAAAGAGGCATTACGGTATAAGTTACAAATAATGACAACAAATGTTAATATATGTATGATTGTTATTGAGTGATTCAGAAAATCACATGTGACTTGATCCAAGAATAAGGTCATTAACAGCTGATTACAGGAGTTAAGGGTCTAGTTGTCAATGTGGTGAATGAATAAGCCAATGAGGGTGTTTATAAATGAAGTTATTTGTAGCGTTACATCCTCCTAAGCTTCAAATATTGACTGGACTGTACTGTACTGTACTGGATTGTATTGTACTGAACTGTACTGAACTGTGCTGGACTGTACTGGACTGTACCTTACTGGACTGTACTGTACTGAACTGTACTGGACTGTACTGAACTGTACTGGACTGGACTGTACTGAACTGTACTGAACTAGAGTGTACCATACTGGATTGTACTGGATTGTACTGAACTGAACTATACTGGACTGTACTGTACTGTACTGTACTGAACTGAACTGTACTGTACTGGACTGTACTGGACTGGAATGTACTGGACTGTGCTGTACTGAACTGTACTGTACTGGACTGTACTGGATTGCACTGGACTGGACTGTACCGTACTGGACTGTACTGGATTGTACTGAACTGAACTGTACTGTACTGAACTGTACTGTACTGAACTGTACTGGATTGCACTGGACTGGACTGTACCGTACTGGACTGTACTGTACAGTACTGGACTGTACTGTACAGTACTGAACTGTACTGTACTGAACTGTACTGGACTGTACTGTACTGGATTGTACTGGACTGTACTGTACTGGTCTGTATTGTACTGAACTGTACTGGAATGTACTGTACTGAACTGTACTGGACTGTACTGGATTGCACTGGACTGGACTGTACCATACTGTACTGTACTGTACTGAACTGTACTGAACTGTACTGGACTGTACTGTACTGGGTTGGACTGTACTGTACTGTACTGTACTGTACTGTACTGTACTGTACTGAACTGTACTGAACTGTACTGTACTGGATTGTACTGAACTGGACTGTACCATACTGGACTGTACTGTACTGTACTATACTGTACTGAACTGTACAGGACTGTACTGTACTATACTGGACTGTACCGTACTGGACTGTACTGTACAGAACTGTACTGGACTGTACTGTATTGAACTGAACTGTACTGAACTGTACTGTACTGTACTGGATTGTACTGTACTGGACTGTACAGTACTGAACTGTACGAGACTGTACTGTACTGGACTGTACTGAACTGTACTGTACTGGATTGTACTGTACTGGACTGTACAGTACTGAACTGTACGAGACTGTACTGTACTGGACTGTACTGAACTGTACTGTACTGGATTGTACTGTACTGTACTGAACTGTACTGTACTGTACTGGATTGTACTGTACTGGACTGTACAGTACTGAACTGTACGAGACTGTACTGTACTGGACTGTACTGAACTGTACTGTACTGGATTGTACTGTACTGTACTGAACTGTACTGTACTGTACTGGATTGTACTGTACTGGACTGTACAGTACTGAACTGTACGAGACTGTACTGGACTGTACTGTACTGAACTGTACTGGACTGTACTGAACTGTACTGGACTGTACTGGACTGTACTGAACTGGACTGTACTGTACTGAACTGTACTGAACTGTACTGAACTGTACTGGACTGGACTGTACTGAACTGTACTGGACTGTACTGGACTGTACTGAACTGTACTGTACTGGACTGTACTATACTGGACTGTACTGTATTGTACTATACTGTACTGGACTGTACTGTACTGTACTGTACTGTACTGGACTGTGCTGTACTAAACTGGACTGTACTGTACCATACTGTACTGGACTGGACTATGCTGTACTGGACTGTACTGTACTAAACTGAAGTTATTTGTAGTGTTATATCCTCCTAGGCTTCAAATATTGACTGTACTGTAATGGACAGTACTGGAATGTACCGTACTGGACTATACTGTACTGGACTGTACTGGACTGTACTGAACTATACTGTACTGGACTGTGCTGAACTAAACTGGACTGTACTGTACTGTACTGGAATGGACTATACTGTATTGGACTGTACTATACTGGACT